AGCTTCGTAGGAAATATTTCTCCCTTTTCTATTTTTTTTTGGAAGATTCTGTCAAGAATTGATATTAATTCTGTAAATGTTTTGTAGAGTGCACCAGTGAAACAATCCGGGACCTAAGTTTTTCTTTGTAAGTAACTTGCTTATTTGTTTTATAGTATACATTGTTAATTTAATCTGTTATAAATTTATTCAGATTGCTATTTCTTTTTGAGTCAGTTTTGGTATGTGCCTTTCTAGGAAATTTTCATTTCATCTAAGTGATCTGATTTATTAACATATGATAGTTCGTAGTATTCTTTTACAATCGTTTTCATTTCTACAGTGTTGATAGTATATACCCTCTCATTTCTGACTCTAGATTTTTGAGTCTTTTTTCCTTTATTGATTAATCAGATTTGTCAGGATTGTTTTTTAACCAAAGAATCAGGATTTGATATAATTGGTTTTATCTATATTGTTTTTCACACTTCTATTTCAAAATATCTGCTCTAATCTTTATTATTTCCTTGCTTTTAGTTTGCTCTTCCTTTACTAGTGTCTTAAGGTGGAAGGTTAGGTTATTTTCTTTTAAACAATGCTTTACCTGTATCCTACAATTTTTTTTTTTTTTGAGAGAGAGAGAGAGAGAGAATTTTTTACTATTTATTTTTTAGTATTTTCGGCGGACACAACATCTTTGTGTGTGGTGCTGAGGATCCAACCCGGGCGGCACACATGCCAGGCAAGCGCGCTACCGCTTGAGCCACATCCCCAGCCCCTCCCACAAATTTTTGATGTTTTATTTTCATCGTAAATTATTGCAAAGTATTTTCTAGTTTCCCTCTATTTCTTCTTTGGCCCATTGTTTATTTATAAGGGTGTTGTTTATTTTCCACATATTTATGGGTTTCCCCATTTTTTATATCAATTTCTAATTTAATTTCATGGTGGTAGGAAAACACACTGTAATTTCTACTCATACATTTTATATATATATGTGTGTGTGTGTGTGTGTGTGTGTGTTAGTACTTTAGCATATTATCTAAGCTGGAGAATGTTCTGTGTACTTAAGAAGAATCTATATTCTGTTATTTTTTAGTGGCATGTTGGTAGATGTCTGTTAGGTCTAGCTGGTTTATAGTTTTGTTCAAATCTTCAATTTCCTTGATGATCTTCAGCCTGGTTGTCTATCTACTATTGAGAATGGAACACTGAAGTCTCCAACTGTTATTGTTGAATTGTCTATTTCTCCCATCATTTCTTTCAGTTTATGCGTCATATTTTTTAGCTGTGTTGTTAGGTGAATATATTTTTATATCTTTCTAATGGATTGTTACAAAATATCCTTAAGTGACTTGTTACTTTTAAGGTCTATTTTTTTCTGATATTAGTATAGACACTCCAGTTTTCTTATGTTCTATTTGTATGGTATATCTTTGCCCATTCATTAATTTAATCTATTTGTATCTTTGAATTTTTTTTTTATTTTTTATTTTTTTAAATATTTATTTATTTATTTTTGTTTTCGGCGGACACAACATCTTTGTTTGTATGTGGTGCTGAGGATCGAACCCGGGCCGCACACATGCCAGGCGAGCGCGCTACCTCTTGAGCCACATCCCCAGCCCCAGTATCTTTGAATTTAAATGTGTCTTCTTGTAGACATCATATTGCTAGATCTTTATTTTTATATTCAGTCTAAGAATCTCTGTTTCTTGATAATCACTTAATCCATTTACATTTAATTTTATTATTGACTTTTTTTTTGTACCAGGGATTAAACCAGGGGCACTTAACACTGAACCACATTCCCACCCTTTTTATTTTATTTTATTTTTTATTTTGAGACAGGGTCTCACTAAATTGTGTAGGGCCTCACTAAGCTTCTGAGTCTAGCCTTGAACTTGCAATCCTCCTGCCCCAGCCTTCAAGTCACTGGGATTACAGGCATGTGTCACTGTGCCCAGTTATAATTGACTTCTTGTGTCTTTTGATGATATGATTGATTCAGATTATTTTCCTCCTATTATGAAAAATATCTTTTATGTTTCAAGAAACAGATTTGAAGAATAAGGCTAATAATACTGACCATTGCAGTATTGTTAGCAATGGTCAGTATTGCTAATACTTTTATTATTAATAAAAGTAATAATATATGAATCTACCTCATTATTTATAATGATGTCATTCATTGACTGAAGGGACATTTAAAATGATCACACCAGTGATCATTTTTAAAGTTTTTGAATATTAACCAAAAGGGTGAAGGAAGTACCAAAAATTAATAAGCAAGTAGTTATATCTTAGAGTTATTTGAGGCCTGAGAGAATATTGGGAAAATTCTTTCAGTTTCTGAGAAACTTCTTATCTCTTCATTCCATAGCTGATAAAAGTTAGGTTCTTAATATGAGGTGAATTTTACATTCTCTATGATATCTCAAGATAGTACAACCTAAATAAAGTAAAAGTGATTAAGAACATAAGATCCAGGAAAGCAAAGACCTTGTCTGTCTTGCTCTCTGTGATCTCCAGTGCCGTGGGCCATATGTGGTACAGAGTAGACACTTAATAAAATATTCATGGAATAAAATATGGTATTTTATACTAAGTGTTGACAGATTTTTTCCTAGCATCAGAATTTTAATATGTAAGAATCTTTCCACTGAATGAATTCTTTATTCAAAGCTATTCTTATTTCTGAATTTAACAAAGAAATGACTCCAACAAACCCATGTGACACACACCCCCGCCAATGCTGAGTGAAAGGTTCTGAAACTATGCTGTGGTCTAAATGTTTGTCTCCCCATCCACCCAAATTTCATAAGTTGAAACCTAATCAACAATGTGATGGTATTAGGAAGCTGGACCTTTAAAGGTGATTAGGTCACTAGGACAGAACCCTCATGAGTGAGATTAGTATCCGTATAAAAGAAGGGCTGCCTTGTCCCTTCAACCATGGGAGGACACAGAAGGCACTGTTTAGAACGAAGTAGCCCCTCACCAGGCGCCAAATCTACTGATGCCTTGATCTTGGATTTCCCAGTCTCCAAAACTGTGAGAAATAAACTTCTGTTGCTTATAAGCTATCCAGTTTAGGTTATTTTGCTATAGCAGCCCGACTGGACAGACACTCCATCACTTGAAAGATAGTCTAGGAGAGTTGGTATGACAACAAACATGACTCAAGCACCTACAGATATCAGGGCAAAGATATTCAAAACTATACTGGAGCTGGGCGCAGCGGTACACACCTGTAATCCCAAAGGCTCAGGAGGCTGACACAGGAGGTTCGTGAGTTCAAAGCCAGTCTCAGCAATAGCAAGGCACTAAGCAACTCAGTGAGACCCTGTCTCTAAATAAATAGGGCTGGGGATGTGGCTCAGTGATTGAGTGCTCCTGAGTTCAATCCCTGGTACCCACCCCATAAACAACAACAACAACAACATTGAAGCTGAGCACAGTGACACACACCTGTAATCTCAGAGGCCAAGGTAGGGGGATCATAAGTTTGAGGCCAGCCTCGGCAATTTAGTGAGATCCTGTCTCAAAATAAAATTAACAATGGCTGGGGATGTAGCTTAGTGGTAGAGTGCCCCTAAATTCAATCCCTGGGACTGGGGCAGTGAGGGTGGGGAACTATATTGGAAACCACCTAAATGTCCATCAATAGAAAACTGGATAAACCCGCCAATGAATGACATCATTATAAATAATGAGGTAGATTCATATATATTGATATGAAAAAATGCCCATCCTGTATTGGCAAATGTTTTAAAAAAGGAATTTGCAAACTATAAAAATATAATTCCCTTTTCATGTTTTAAATGATAATATATGTACTGTACAGGAAAAGGAAATTGGAGAAATATGTACTAAATTATTGATAGTGAGATTGTTGAAAGTTAGGGTTTTGAGGGGTGGATCATCTATATATTATATTTATGAAACATTTGATACTTGAATAATTGGTGCATCTGTGACATCTATTATGTTCTCTTGGTTTTTTTTTTGTTTTGTTTTGATGGTACTGGAGATTGAACCCAGGGCCTTACACATGCTAGGCAAGCACTCTACCAACTGAGTTATATCCCCAGCTGCAATTTTTTTTTTTTTTTGGTTGTGATGCTGATTATGTTCCCTATGAGGGATACTATAGAGATTATTGTGATGGCGATTTCCTTGGGTTTTTTTTTTTTTGTCTGTTTTGCAGTGCTAGGGATTGAAACCAGGGCCTTGCATTCACTAGGCAGGTGCCCTGCCAATGAGTTTTATCCCCAGCCCAACGTGTCCTTATTTCTTTAATGTTTGCTTCCTCTTATAGACTGAAAACCTGTAAAAAAATGGCCTATTTGTTTTGTTCAGTGCTGAATTCTAGTGCCTACTAGTTCCTGGAACATAACTGAAGGATGCAGGCATGCATGAGTGAATGACATAATCTATGAGAGATACTTATTGTCTGATATATACTATATGAAATATACTTTGTAACAAATAGTTCACATGCTAGATGTGGAATTGATTAAGAGTACAGATCATGGAGTTGGACATCCTGTGATTGAACCTCAATTTTTCCATTTAATAGATGAAAAACCCTGGACAAATCCCTTAACCTCTTTTTACTCATTTCCCATCTGTAAAATGAGAATAATATTACTACCTATTTCATTAGATTTTTGAGGAAAATTAAATAAGATTACTCGCATAAAGTGCTTAGCATAGAGCCTGGCACACATTAAGTGCTCTAGGGATGCAATAAAAAATAATAACAAAAACAGATTATTATTAGTAGTGTAAGTTCGGATATAGAACCCCTACAAAGGGGCTCCAGTTAGCCATAGAGGCAGAGATTCTGGGATAGGATACCAAGTTCTGCTCTCCCACTCCCACCTCCAACCTAGTTAAACATAAATCAGGCTAGAGTCATGGGTAAGCAATATTCTTTCTTTAATTTCCCTTTGCAAATGGAAGCCCCTGAGCTGGTCCCCACCCCCACCCCTACCCCACACCCCGGGGACCCCCAGATGAAAGGTCCCCACCTCAACCTGGTAGGAGGAGAGGATTACTCTCTTCCCACGATGGTCCATTAAAAAAAAATCCTAATCACTTAAGAAATGAGGCTGGGAACAGGATAAGGGAGCTGGAAGACAAGGCCCAGGTCAGGATAGTCTGTAGATGTTAGGGTTATAACACCCTTGAGAAGGGTTTGCAAGCATATCCCTAAGCTCAGAGCCAGCATGGCTAAAAGAAGAGAGGAGAAAGACCCCTCAAGGTCCCCTGCCTAGTCGTGGACACTGACATTAACTACCACCACCACCGCAGGCCTCATGATGGAGAATTTTTCAATTACTCTGGGATAGGGTTTGCTAAGCATTCCCTCTGGCCCCTAATCTAGGGCATCCCTGGGGTCCCCCTGAGACCAAACTTGGGAGAAGGAAGGACTCTGGGAACATGCAAAGGTGGGGAGCAGAGACCCCGCCCCACCCCGCTGCTCTACAGGATGGTGGCTCCAGCTGCATCTGGGCTCCGTGGGTCCTTTACACCGATGATGAAGTTGTTGGTTCTCCGGCTGCCATGGACCCAGGATAAGACATCTACCTTCTCCACGTGGTGACCCCTGGCTTCCAGGAATTCTATCTCTTCCTCTGTGAACTCACCTGAAAACCATCCCCAACATACACACATTTAGAGTGTTCAGAGCACAGGCTAAGGAGATCTACAGTGGATTTGAGTCTTGGTCTTGGGTGTTCCTGCATGACGTTGGGCAAACTGTTTCACCTCTTTGAGCCTCAGTATCCTCATGTACAGAATGGGGGATAATAAAAGAGCCAGCACATGAAATTGTTTCAGGGATTAAAGGAGAGAATGCACAGGAAGCTCAGAGCCTTGCTTACAGCAAGTGATTGAAAATGTAGTCATTCTCAATATTGGAAAAAGGACTTTGAGGGTCTTCGTCTCCACCTGCATAGTCCAAGCTGCCATCACTATTTGCCAGGATTACAGCACAGTCTTCTAACTGCCTCCCACCCCCCCAGCTTCCAGTCCTGTCTTCCATTCAGTCTCTTCACACAGTACCCAAAGGGATCCTTTAGAACACTGGTCCGACCTTGTTAATCCCCTAAAACACTCCACCATCCAGGCTTAGTGGGACATGCCCATAATCCCAGTGATTTGGGAGGCTGAGGCAGAAGGATCATAAATTCAAGGCAAGCCTTAGCAACTTAGTTAAGTCCTTAGCAACTTAGAGAAACCCTGTCTCAAAAAATACAAAAGGCTTGGGATATAACTCAGCAGTAAAGCACCCCTGGGGTCAATACCAAGTGCCACAAAAACAAAATATTCTACCAGGTTTGATGGACCTAGAATAAAATCCAAAGTCCTTATCAAGGCCTCTAAGGCACAACATTATCTAGGACCTTGCTACCTCTCTAAATTATTCTTATTTATTCCTTCTATTCTCTACCTTACTTTATTCCAAACACACTGGCTTCCTTGCTGTCCCTAAAGTAGATCAAACATGCTCCTACCTGAGGAATTTTGCACTTCTTGTTCTTTCTGCCTGGTCTGCTTTCCTTTTAGATGGTTTCAAAGCTGGCTTCCTTTCTTTATTCTAGTCTTTGGTCAAAAGGCACTTCTTTGAGAAGCATTTAATGTGTGTCAGACTTTATGCTGACCATTAACTAGAATAGCAGTCCCTGCCATCTTTACCTTGCTTTGTTTTCTTTCAAAGTATATAATATCACTTGTATTTGCTTATTTATTGGCTTTGTCTCCCCCCACTAGATTAAAGTTTTTTGAAGATGGGGTCGTTATCTTGTTTGCTATTGCTCCCCATTGCCTGGACAGTCAGTACCTAGTAAAAAGTTAAGCAGGTATTTACCAGATAGGGGTGTTTACCCCTATCCTCTTGCATAAGTTCAGGTTCTCATCATCTCTCACCTGAGCCATACCCAAGCTCCTTCTTGTATTTCCTCAACTTACCTTCTCTTCCCTTCAATCCATCTGCCCTATTCAATTGGATAGTCGTGCCCTCCTCCTCATCTTCCTCTTCTTCTTTTTTACAGTACTAAGGGTTGAATCCAAGGACACTCTATCACTGAGCTACAGTCCCAATCTCCCCCACCTTTTTTCTTAAATTTTGAGACAAAGTCTTGCTAAGTTGCTGAGACTGGCCTTGAACTTTCAATCCTCCTGCCTCAGCCTCCCAAATTGCTGTGATTATAGGTGGGCACCACAGTGCCCAGCAAATCTGTGCTTCTTAACATTGTCCTCCATGATAAGCTTTGTTAACTTCACCTCCCATTGCTCTTCTATAAAGATCTGGTCTGCTTATTTCTCCAGACAGAATGAGTTTAGGTAGTTCTTAAGATAAAAGACACATTATTGAATAATATTAAATCATCTAGTCAGAAATCACTTCATGGTTCACTTTCAATCTTTTTGATTATGGCAAGGACCAAGTTTCAGTCTGGCCTCTGAACAGTCTAATTTCCCTTTTAACATAAAAAGCAGGTCTGAGAGCCTTCTGCAGGTAATAATATCTACCTAAAACCTAAAAATATTTGATTTTTAAAATAGCTATCTATCATCTATTTGTGACAAATGATTCTATTTTTCTAATTTTGATTGACTTTTTTAAAAAGAATCTCTCTGTGTTAATAAGTTTTACTTAAAACACATTTGGGTAAAAAACAAGTCCATTTATACATATGTATTATGTAAATAACGGTTTAGACCACATATAAATGTGGCCAAAGTCGTGAAAGTGCTAAGTAAATTCAAGAGTTTGGGAAATGACTGGCCTCCTGGCTGCACTCTAAACTATTCTTTCTGTTTCCCCCCCCCCCCCCCGGGTTATTTCTTCTTTCCAGAATCCCTTCATCTCCACATGCCAATTTCCTGCTCATACTTCAGGGCTCAGCCAGTTGTTACCTCCTCCATAAAGCCTTCCTGGGGTCTCAGGTGGATAAATGTTTCTTTTGCCAGAACCCCACACTTGATATCCCCTTCTAAGACTGTGCAAGGGATGAGCTACCATAAGTAACTTAGCATGCCACCTTATACTTAGTAGAGACTAGCAGAATAAAGTTGAATAAAGTTTAGTTTCAAGAGTCTGCTTCATGCATCAGTTGCGGTTTGATATCACTGACCAACTATAGGGTCTGACTGCAGATGACCTAGGACTGTGCTTTTAACATGCTTCAAGTGCAGGAGATATCAAGGGCCAGGCAGTAAAGAAGCAGAGTCTTTGGTATCAGCCAGCGGTTTGTTCTAATATCACTTCTGCCACTTGCTGGTTGATCTTTGACTAGTTTATAACTTCTGTAAGCCTCAGTTTCTTTATCTGCAAAATGGAGATAATACTGAACAAACACAAATTATATCTTGATCAATTCTTTATCCCTTTTGGACTAGCATAGTACATGGTTGGTTATAATAAAACTCCTCAAAGATGCACATATTTTCCTATTTACAAAATTAAGCTGCATCCAAAATTAAGCCCCTGTTCTTAGAGGCAAGTCAATCTCCTCACCATAAATCTAGAAGGTCCCCTGCCTGCCTCTCTGAACTCATTTCATTCTCACTGAGGTTGGGGTTTGTTTTTGTTTGTTTGTTTGTTTTTTAGTTGTTGATGGACCTGTATTTTTTTTTTTATTTATTTATACGTGGTGCTGAGAATGGAACCCATTGCCTCACACGTGCAAGGCAAGTGCTCTATACTTAATCACAACCCCAGCCCAGGTTGGTCTTCTTTTTATTCCTCAAACACACCAAGCCCATTTCTGCTGAGTTCTCTGCACTTGTCCTCTTGGCCTACAAAGCTTTGCCTCAGTTCTTTGCCTGGTGGGCTCTTTCTCACTCTTCAGATCTCAGCTTAGATATCACCTGGTCACTGAGTCAGCCCTGCTATATCATTCTGTTTTAATGCTCAGCTGGGTATTTATTTTACTCTCCCTTATCTCTTTGATTATTTCCCCATCTGCTTACAAATGCACTATCTCTAGAACCTAGAATGATGTCTGGCACACAGCAGGTGTTCAATACAAACTAAGGTATGAACGAAGGTTTGCAGAATGAACAACTGTACCTTATTTTACAAATGAGAACACCAAGGCTCAGAGATGAAAAATGGACCTCTCAAGGACACAAAGGAAATAGCAAGATGGTTCCAGTCCCCAGATCTTTCATTACTTTAACAGGAAGTTGTGGAAAGAAACCAAACTTTGGCAAGAAGGAAACTGGTGCTGATCAAGGTAGGGGAAACCTGTCTCTGTGGCCACCCCACGGGAGTGTCTGCTCTGCACTCACTGTCCACCTGCAGGAGGTTGGACTGCAGGTCTGGGTGAAGGCGGCCTCGGGCCAGGCTGTCACTCAGGTTCCGGTTCAAGGTCAGGACATTCAGCAGTACCTGTAGGTAGCCAAGAGGCAGAAAAATCAGGGCTGTCCCAGGGGTGATGAACCAGGCAGGGCTCCCCAGCTCTCACCCTTGGTCCAGACTCTTTAGTCTTTAGAACCCTCACACCAGGTGTGTCATCTGGGCTTCTCAACAACCCTGAAACCAGACAGGCAGGCCTGTGATAACTATCCCTGCTTCATAGAGGAGGAAACTGAAGGCCAGAGAAGGAGAGTTATTCACTGAAGAGTTTAGAAGAAGCCAGGGAAGAGGGACCCTCCCCTTTAAATCTAGCTCAGAGCTTCCCTCCCTTCTCTCTGGATAGGGCAGGATTAACAGCTAGAGGTGATTTAAGGTACACATTTGTACTTTCAGTTTAGTGGTTAGGAGCGTGAGTAGACTCTGGATCTGAACTACCTGTCAACCCTTGCTAGTTGAAGGAACTTGACCTAACTTCTTAACCTTTCCAGTTCCAATTTCTTAATCTATAAAATAGAAATAAGCCTTCTTTCCAGAGTTGGGAAGGTTAAAAGTACTCAGCACTTTGTAAGAACTCTATAAATATTAACTATTTTATTATTTCTACTTTATAGAGGATGATATTGAAGTTCAGAGAGGTTAAGTGAATTTCCTAGCATCACACAGTTGGCAATTGGCAACACTTGGACTAGAACCCACAGAAGTCTGGTTCTAAAATTAACTTGTCATTTGCCAAAACATATGCCTGGCACATATAACAGGAGCTCAAGACATTCAAGGAACTGTCCTGAGGTATTCTGGAGAGTAGTGGCCCTTCCATCTAAAATCAGACTCTAAAAATTTTTTAAAATAAATAAATAAATAATAAAAACAGATTTTAAAAAAACAACCCAGACTCTAAAGAGGGCTGGTTATCTATTTAGATGCAGGGTAGAGAAATGATGGGAATTGAGGTTCACAGAACACAGGTAGCCCAGATGCTATATCACTTTTCAATTCTATTGGCCCTGCGATTTCCCTTGCAACCTGGAAAGACAGGGGCTGCTGTGCCCATTTTCACTAAGAAACTCAGCACAGTCCATTTGTGCCCATGATGGGCCTGGCACAAAGCAATTCAGTTCATGTTTGCTGTATAAGGGATGGAGAAACAAGTCAGAGATAGAAAGGGCATCACAGCCCAGGCCACAGCTGGTTCCTGACTGCAAAAGGCCCATAAGGAAAGAAACCTCACCTGGGTCAGACCACTGAGGCCCCGGGCAGCTCCGTTGGCCCCCAGGGCAAGGTAGGTCCCACAGAGCCCCTCTGCCGGTCGGACCACAGTAGGCAGCAGGAAAGAGAGTGGCCGCTTCCCTGGCTGCACCGAGTTCTCCTGTTGTTGGAGGGCAGAGACCGCAAAGGAGGTGTGGGGTGGGGCAAGACAGGGAAAGGGCCACTCCACCACTCTTCCCACTCCTCTCCTTCTTTGCATCATCTACAAGAAAGGGGGACTATTTCCCTCCAAGCAACAGTGTGCTGTCTGCGAAAGGGAAGGGGTCCCTGGATGGCTAGGGTGGATGAGGTGGAATAATAAGAGGACCCATTGAGCTGTGAGGCTGCTATGGATGGCAGGGAAAAGAACCAAGACAAAAAGATGGCGACAGGAAAGCATAGTAGAATCCCCACTGGATCACCTCTATGTGTCTTTGCCCTGCCAGGCATCTTATACAGTGTAAGAGTGCTGGTCTCCAGCTAGAACAATAACTTCTAATTCCTTCCTCCTTGGGTTCTTTTTTGGTTCTCAGTCATTGGGCTGAGCTCCCCCAGCTCAGCATCATGGTGTTACAGACCACTAGTGCTGGAAAGAACCCAAATCATTAAATTAGACCTAATATCCTCATTGTACAGGTGAATAAAATGAGGTCCAGAGATGGGCAAGACTTTCCCTGCGTTGCAGAGTAAGAGAGTGGCAGAATGAGATAAGGGTTCTTCTGACCCACCAGAATCTATGCTTCAGAATGAGCAGGACTAGGGATGAAGTGGGTATCTTATTTCCTTATAATAGAATTTCCTAGGGGAAATAGGGAGGAAGAAGCAACCATACAGCTGTACTTCCTACCTAGCCCGAGGGTCCCCATGAGAGGAGAGAAGCAAGACCCTACCAGGTTGGGTGCAGAATGGTTAGCAGTTCTGTTGGGCCAGGAGAAGTCCAGCATCTGACTGTTGAGCAGAATCCCCGAGGGGGTGATGAGACCACTGCCAAAGGGCCGGTTCAGGGAGCTGGGGGCAGAGATGGGGTCAGATGAGCTCTGCGACTACCTTCATTTCTTCCCAGACCCCACCAGCACCACCTGGTCCAAATGATCTTTTGTTACAGGTTCTAAGTCTGAGCTGGCATACCTGACCATTGCCACGATGAAGTCATCAGGGCCCATAATTAGCACCTGGGCAGCGGTGGGAGCCCCATCCAGCTCATAGACAGGCAGGAGAGGGGCAGGGGCTGCCTGAGAATCATTGATGTGGCCCCTGAAGTATGCAGCCTCCACCTTGCTAAAAACACAAGGAGTGGGGGATGAGCATACAACAAGCTTTCAATACACCCCAACTATCTGTGATGTTTATGTGATTATTTGATTAAATTTCCTTCCCTCACTGGACTACTAGGCCTATGAGGGTAGAAGCTCACTGCTGAGTAATTGAACTGAATAGATTTATTTAGGTATTATTCAGATTCTTTTCTAAAATTAATATTTTTTTTCCTTTTTTTGGTACTGGGGATAGAACCCAGGGATGTTTTTACACTGGGGATGTTTTACATCCCCAGATATTTTTATTTTTTATTTTGAGACACGGTCACACCAAGTTGCTTAAAATCTCAGTAAGTTGCTGAGGCTGGCTTTGAACTTGTGATCCTCCTGCTCCAACATCCGGAGTTGCTGGAACTACAGGCATGGGCCACCATGCCCCCCAGGACTCCAAACTTTTTAAAGTTCAAGTGATGGTTTCTTAGATTACTATTATTAACTGTGTGTTGGGTTATTCATAATGATTAGAGAATAATAAGTTACCAAGGATTATTGAAGACATTCGTTCAGTTTTCAACCAAGAAGGATGGTGACCACGCAGTATAGGAACCTGGGGCTTGGTTTCAGATGGCTGGGAGGGGGAACCTTGGTTTTCATGCTTTTATCCCAGTGGCCATGATGTGGTTATAGTTCTTTTTGCCTTTTTTTTTTCCTGGATAAGTGATGTTAACTTTTTAATTTGACAGATAAAATTGTATGCATTTGTCATGTCTGATGATTTTTTTAATGGGTGCATCATAGATTTACATAATAATGGGATTCATTGTAATATGTTCATACATACACAACCCATAATTTAACGTGATGGTTTTTTTTTTGTGTGTGTGTGTGTGGTGGGTACTGGGGATAGTACCACATGCTAAGCAAATGCCCAACACTGAACTATATCCTCAGTCTTTTTTAAACTTTTGTTGGTTGGTTTTTTTTTTTCTTTCTTTCTTTTTTTTTTTTTTTATACCAATGATGGAATCCAGGGGCTTTACCACTGAGCTACATAGATCCCCAGCCCTTTTTACTTTTTATTTTGAGACAGAATCTCACTAAATTACTTAGGGTCTTGCTAATTTGCTTAGGATGGTCTCAAACTTTCGATCCTTCTGCCTGGGCCTCCACAGTAGCTGAGTCTACTGGTGTGTGCTACCATGCCCAGCTCACTGGACACCTTTGCCTCAGGCAAAGGTGTCCAGTGTCAGATTGTGAGTTGGGGTTCAGCTGAAACTGACCTGGAACTTCACTGGATCCTTTCCCCAAACCCACTACCACCTCACACCCTTTGGAATCCTGCCCCAAGACCTACCTGAGCATGTCATCCATGCTCTCAGTGATGGTAGAATCATAGATGGGATCTCCCAGTCTGCTGGCCAGGGCTAATGCAATCTTCAAGGTCTGAAAACACAGCAAGGATATGGAAGAGGCTGCCAGGACCCTTTATGCAGCCCCATCTAGGGATCCTCATGTGAAAGAAAACTAAGGTGATTTAGTCCTGCCTCAAAGCAGTAATTCCTCTCGCCATCCCTAGTGTCCCCAAATCCAGGTGAGATGGAGGGGCTGGCTTTACCTCTGCCACCCAGTGAAGAGCCTGTTCCCGGGATACCAGGCTGGTGAGATTGAAGCCCTCAAGGATGTTCAGAGCACTGATGATGGCAGGGCCTGTGTGTGGGGGTGGGGGACTCAGAACCAGGTGGCCTGAAAGGACAAGAGATAACCAGAGAGCAAGGGAGGGGTCAAGTCACCTTCACATTCCACATTCCAGCTGCACATCCCATTATCACATGCTCTGAGACCACTGCACTGAGCCCCCTCATCAGATAAGGAAACAGAAGCATTAAGACGAGAAGGGACCCACTCAAGTTCACATGCCAAGTTGAAGGCAGAGCCAGGACTTGAACTGAGAATACTGGTCTTCAGTTTCCTCTGCTATATGAGATAACTAAGGCTTAAGAGACTGTGACTTGCCCAGAGTCACACTGTAGGCGATTTTCAGGGCAGGGACAGATAGTGAGATGTCCAGATTCCTAGCCACAGTGTGTTTCCTTTCTGCTCCTCCCACAGGCCAGAATAGTATCCAGGGCTCTTAATGGTCCAACTCAACCTGAAACTCCTTGGAGCAGGAGCCTCCTCTTCCTCCTGTTATTAAATGTTTGGACATCAAAGGAATAAAGGAATAATAATACCTGACAAATAATACCAACATTAACTAATTGACCCATTTAATCCTTACAATAGGTACTGTTATCACCCCAATTTTATAGGTACAGAAACTGTGACACAGAGAGGCAACTGGCCCAAGGTTATAGGAGATAAGGGAAATCCAGAGCACTCAAGGCATTGGCATTGCTGAGACAACTCAGGCTGGGGAGGGAAAATAGAAAATCCAGTGCACTCCATGCTCACTCTGATCAAGGCACCTTCCTGCACCATCTCATCAAATCCTCACAGGCACCCTGAGATCATCCCCATTTTAAGGAGTGAACAAAGGCTGGAAAGTGGAAAGTGACAAGTTTGAGGCAAATGGTACGCAAACCCAGGTCTTTCTGTTCCAGAGCTACACTCTTTCCTCTACTTCATAGAACATTGTTTCCAGCAGAGGAATCAGATAAGAGACTGAGACCTGAAACTTGAATTCAGAAGTAGCCTCTTCTGAGGCTTGAAGTGATCTTGCCCTCCCAGAAGGGAAAGAACCCGAGAACTTCTGAAGGACCCAAAACCTACCACTGTGGGCTCAGAAAACATCACCCATGTCATAATTCAGCTTTCTGGATTTCTTATTGGTTTTCTTGAATTTGCAGGTTGAGTTCCTTTCCCTTCCTAGGACTGTTTTCTTTTGGTACATGAGGGACCAGGTTTGTGACTCTCATGAAGGGTTCATTCGACCTGAAGCCTAGATGGACTTCCGTCTTATGAATTCTTTTATTTTTTAATTTATATTTTTTGGCACCAGGGATTGAACCCAAGAGCCACATAGACAGCCCTTTTTTATTTTTTTATTTTGAGACAGAGTCTCACTAGGTTGCTTAGAGCCTTGCTAAGTTGCTGAGGCTGGCTTTGAATCTACGATCCGCCTGCCTCAGACTCCTATGCCACTGGGATTACAGGTGTGTGCCACCACGCCAGGCAAATTCTTCTTAGGAAGAACAGGGCAGTAAGAATGGGGCTGGGGCTAGGGTTGAGGCAACATAGCGCCCAAATCCAGAAAACAGATATTTAGAACCCCAACTTTCAGATCTGAGCCTTTGGCTAGATGAATCCCCCCCATTGTTAAAATAATTCGGTTAAATGATGCCATGATTATTTCAGAAGATGAGCTGGCTCTGGTTTGCTTCAACAGCTGGCTGCCCAGGCAGTTCACTGACTCAGTTTCTCTCCTGTAGAATGGAGAGAAATCTTCAGGCCAAAAGGATATGGCCTTGGACTGGGATGCTTCTCTTGAGTGGGGACCCTGAAAGTTGGGGGAGAAGTCACCTCTGTACACCCCACACACAGGCTTCTCCACAAGGGCACTGTAGTTGCTGAAGTCCTCTTCAGTTATGATGCCCCCTGCATGCTGAGCCTGGAGGAGAGAAAATGACCACCCACCACTGTGAGCACATGGCTTGGCCTATAACACACATCTGAATCACAAACAAATTGACTGTTCACAACTTTTATGCCTCATGGCCTTGAAGAACCCCATAAGTCCTAAGTACCATAGGAAGAAGGAGAAAAGCATGAACACCAAGCACCTCCTATGTGCCAGTCATTGTGCTAGGTATATTCCATGAGGGACCTCTTTAGCTTGGTATTCTAGTCCCTTCCTGCTTCTCCCACTTCATGTCCTGCTGTTCTTCAGTGAGCTCTACACAGCTGCAGAGTGACCTGAAGGTCCTGAACTCTACCCCCAAGTCTTTTCAAGTGCTGCCCTCTTAGACTCTGTAAAAGGAAGACTTACTCTTACAGCAGCACTAGGAGATATCACCTAGGAGATATCAAAATGAATTCTACATCTCATTACAACCAATTAAAGTCACTACAAAACCAAGAACTTTTTTGGAGGGGGAGGGGTGCCAGGGATTGAACCCAGGGGCACTTAACCACTGAGTTATATCCCCAGCCCTTTTTATTTTTTAAGATGCTTAGGGCCTCACTAAATTGTTAGAGGCTAGCTTTGAACTTGTGATCCTCCTGCCTCAGCCTCCCATGCCTGAGGGATTTTAGGCATGTGCCACTGTACCCAGCTAAAACCATAAACTGTGAATGACCCCAGTAGGTCTGACCCTGTGTGTCTCATTGTCAGGAAAACTCGTTCCTAACCAATGAACCAATCTGGTACAAACCAGCAGGCTCATTCCATCCTAACAGTGTGCTATTAATCTTAAATTAGTACTACTATGAATCTTCTCCTTTTTTTAAACTTTTTTTTAGTATCTGAAACCTTTGATTTCTCTATTTTCTGAGTGAACTACATATTGAATTTCTTGGTTAGCATGTGTTCCTTTGTCTGGCAAGATAATAAACTCAACTTGGGTTTTTTTCTTTTAAAACCATGATGGTCTTTATGTTAGAGACTCCTGCATGCCCTTCTCCACCTCTGGGTAAGGATGTGTGACCCAGATGTGGTCAATCAGAGCATTCCTTTATATGTCACAGTGATTAGTTTGGGAATTGTCATGTACCTGTAACAAGCCAATGAGACACAACCACGAGGCTTTTGCTGGAACTAAAAGGAAAGTAAAATACTGTTTCTCTGGGATGGTCTAAGATGGGCTGGTGAGCACAGAGTGTGGATCCAAACTGAGGAAAATACTAGGGAGAGAGAAAGAGCCAGAGGCAGATGGACAGACAGATCAAGTTCTGACAATGTGGATGGAGCCCTTGGATCCAGGAGGACCTAAAGCCAGTGTTCTCCTGGACTTTCTAGTTGAGTCCACTTGGGATGGGCTTCTGTCACCACTACCATATCTCCAGTGCCCAGCATAGGGCCTAGCACTGAGCAGACACTCTGTGAATGGTGAATGAATGATACACCTATGTAATTCCCACTGTAATATGGCAGAATTTTATATAAACATCTCCATTACACAGAGGAGATTACCACTGAGTTGCTCCATGCATCCTATTCTTGAACACAATTTTTCTAGGCGTTTTGGACTGTTGATGATAATTCTCAGAACACACTATTGCCTCAGACTAAATTACTTTGGGGTTGGGTGGTAACCTCCTGTGTCCATCTCCTAGTCCTGACAGTCACCAGTGGAGGAGATGTTTCCCTCAGTCCCTAGAAAAGCCAGAAAGCAAGGAGGATTATGGGCTTAGAGAAACTGAGGCTAATTCTGGGCCTCTACCAGACCTGTGGAAAGCAGGCTAGGCCCCTGAACAGTTAACAGCAGCCCTGATAAGCCCAAAGGTACCCTCTCAATCAAGACAGAACATTTATATTGCTACAGGTTTCTTATGCCCCATCCCAGACAGCCCCTCCAATCCTTAATAACCACTAGTCTGGTTTCTTGTCCTTTTTCATTTCTTTTTGGTTCTGAGAGATCAAACCCAGGGGCTTAACCACTAAGCCACATCCCCAGCCCTTTTGCAATATTTTATTTAGAGACAGGGTTTCAGTGAGTTGCTTAGGGTCTTGCTAAGTGGCTGAGGCTGACTTTTAACTTGCAGTCCTCCTACCTCAGTCTTCTGAACTGCTGGGATTACAGGTGTGTGTCACCATCCTTGGCCTGATTTCTTTTGGTACTGAGGATTTAACCCAGGGGCACTTTACCATTGAGCCATATCCCCAGCCCTTTTTATTTTTCATTTGAGACAGGGTCTCGCTAAGTTTCTGAGGCTAGTCTCAAACTTGTGATCCTCCTGTCTCAGCCTCTCAAGTTACTGGGATTACAGGTCTGGTTTCTATCAATGGAGGTTAGGTTTGTTTATTTTAGAATTTCAAATACATACAATCAGAATATATATGATGAAAGAAAGGCAGGGAGTGTAGAAAGGGGGAAGAGGGCTTCCCTGCAATAGGGTCCTTGGAGCATACCCCTACCTCCCACCCTCACACTCACCTCAGCCACCATCTCCAGTGTGAGGTTGCCACCGTTGTAGAAGGCAGCAGGGCCAGAAGTGCCAAGCGCATCCAGCACCTCTGCCAGGTCAGGACGACGCATCAGGGAGCCAGGCAGTGGTGGGTGGCCCAAGGGCAGGAATGTCTCCAGGAAGCGCTCAGATGCATTGGGAGGCAGCTGCTCAGCCAAGGCCCGGGCTGGGGGCAGGGATGGGAGGCTGGGCAGGGGGTGCCAAGACTGGGCCAGGTGATTGAAATGCATAATAGATGGGGTGCATGAGGGCTAAGTGGCTGGCCCTAAGTGCTCTGGTCCCCCAGGAGCCTATTATAGGGCACAATCTGCCCTTCCAATATTCCCTCATTTGAAGCCTCTCCCAGGTCAGAGTAAGATGGGAAATGGAAGACTGAGGAACAAACTGGAAGAGAGGTTCCCCCCCAATCAACTGTGTGCTTTTCCCCCAACCCCCAAACCCCACTGACCTAGATCATGGGTCACGTTGAAACCATCTTGGGCCACAGCTGCAGCGAAGGCCAGGACTTGGGACCATGGCAGCCTGGGGGGGCCGGAGAGCAGGGGGTGGAGGAGGTCCTGGGGGGAGGAGGAGGGGTCCTGGGGGGAGGGGGGTTCCTGGGAAGGAGAGTCCTGGCAAGGGAAGGGGATATTAGGAGGGGGAGTTGGGAAGGGAAGAATCAAGGAAGGCAGGACAAGGCCACCCAAGGAGAGATGCAGGCAGGGGCCCCTGGTCCCCAGGAGAGGGTCATTACCTGCCATAGAGTTGATGAGCTTCATGAAGCCCCTTCACCATTCCGGGGACCCCCACCAAGAGCCCAGGCTGGGCAAGGCGGGCAGGCGAGGGAGAGAGGAGACCAGGTCACTGGAAGGGGGGGGCTGGGCTGAACTCTGCAGAGCCCCAAGCCAGGGATGGCTGGCATAGGGGAGAGACACATGCCAAGTATCCCAGGAGAGGGACAAGCTTTCCCCTGCAGACATCCCTCCCATCTCCCTGAATTTCTATACGCAAATGCAGAAAGGCTTTTATTTATCATAGTTGAGGGATTTAATAAATTAAGCAAACCCCATCAAGAGCCAGGATAGAAACAAGTTAGATAGAAATCCATCCACACTGGATTATACCTACCCTTGCCTTTTAAAGTTGTGGACAATATAGCTTCACTTAACTCATTTTCATACTATTAGCGCTCTGAGTTGTGAGAACTCAGGAATGTGTTTGGCTTTTGCCACTGCACTAAATACCTACTTTTTCAAGTTATTCTATTTCCTCTTTTGCTCTCTGTGGACAGTGGATTGCCTCTACCTAGCAGTTCCTCTTACTCTTTCAACATATTGTAGGCTGGGAAAGTTATAGTTATTAGGCTCAGAGTGTGATATATGAGTTTTTTTGTTTGCTTGTTTTGCAATATTGGGGATTGAATCCAGGGCCTCTCACACTAAATAAGTGCTCTATCACTGAGCTACATCCCCAGCCCCTTTCTTATTTTTATTTTGATACAGGGTCTCACTAAATTTCCAAGGCTCATTTTGAACTTTTGATCCTCTTGCCCCGGCCTCCCTAGTAGCTGAGATTATAGGCATGCATCTTTATACCTAAGGTATAAGTTTTAACACAGCAACTCTGTGACATTTCAGGGTACTTGGTGGCCTTTTTTCCCTCTTCCTATGTTCCAGACGGTAAGATTATCAGAGAAGTAAGATGTTGCAGTATTACCTGCTAATCAACCATCCACAGTTTTTATTCATTATTTTATTTCATGGGAGTTGCCTGCCTCCCTATAGCCTAAGAAGATCCTGTTCAATTCTTTTTCCAACCCCAATGGTAAAACTCAGCAAATTAATGCTTGAGTTAGCAGAAGAGCAGTGAAGGAAGACCCCCTTGAGCCCTCGCTTCCCAACAGGGTCCCCACCTTGGTTTCCCAGGACCTCTGCAGGGCCTCTTCCCTGAGGGCCCCTGGTGCAGACTCCCGGAAATCAATTAGTTGGCTTTCGTTTCGACGGATGTCATGTACCAGCATTACGCCCCCACTGGAGAGACACAGAAGGGGGAAAGGGATTATAACATGCCGACTTTCGGAATCATTATACTGCCACCCTTCAATCCCTAGGAGTGAGGTTATAGGCTCAGTTTGTCATTCTGAGTCAGGAGTTTGAGTCCTCTCCCCAGCAGGGATTCAGCCACCTTAGAAGGGTAGGGAGTGAAATCAAGGGAGTGGGAGACCCAGAGTTCAAGGACTTCTTTTAGCCTGTTATTAGAGATTTTAATCCCTGCTTAGGGAAACCCAGAGACTGGGAGAGCAGATGTTTTGCCCCTGCCCCCACCCTAGACCAGAGTTGGACTTCTGCCAACTTCCTGCACCTGCCTACTTGGTATCCCTCCTCCAGGACTGGATTATGTAAGGATAGACTGCAAAGCCAAAAGGAGAATTTCTTTGGTAGACCCTGGAGGACTGGTCTTGCAGGAATCAAGATATGGACTTTGTTAGCTTATTCCTTTTCTGTGATTTTTTTTTTTTTTTTACAACTGAGACAGGGTTACAAACTTAAATGCCTGCAGCCAAGTAACAAAATAAGGAAAGCAGGACAGAGAAACAATAGAAAGTTGAAGGAACTCTGGCAAGGTGGACAGCACCTGCCCCATCATGGGGAACAGCTTCTACTAAGCTCTAGATAATTGTAGCCATGTGGAAAAATGAGCCCACTGTTACCAGATCTTCTGATTGCTCAAGAGATGTTGGAAATCTAGATTTTTAAAAAAAAAAAAATGAAAATTCTCAATCTTTTAACAACAGCAAACAAGTTTTTTAAAAATTTAAGTGTGCAAACAAGTCATTCTGTGTGCTTGGTGTGACCCATGGGTGACCAGTTTGTAACTTCGGTTTTAAGAGTTCTCAGCCTAGAGTATATTTTTGGAGGGTGGAGGGTCCATGGCTTTCATTAAACTTACAGGGATTTGTGACCCTAAAACATCACTGCCTTTACTGATGACAGTATACTTCACTGTACACCTCACCTTATAATTTACAAGTTTCCTTTCCCAATGTGTGTATGTGTGTGAGTGTGTGTGTGTGTGTGTATGTGTGTGTGAAGGGAAGCTCCAGAAACACCTCCAGATTCTCCATATGGTAGCTTTACCCTTCTGACTTCAGGGATAAAAGAGTGACATTTGATACAGAAAGAAAAAAAAATGCAGGGCTGGGGCTATAGTTCAGTAGTAGAGCATTTGCCTCCCAAGTGTGAGGCACTGGGTTCGATCCTCAGCACCACATAAAAATAAATAAATTAAATAAAGGTATTGTGTCCATCTACAACTAAATATTTTTAAAAGAAAGAAAAAAATGCAAGGAGTTGGGGCTCAGCCTTCCCTCTATTCAAACTGGGAGACCAACCACAAGAAGTCTACAGACCAAAAGACAAGAAGTAGGCCAGGGTGACCCAGGGCTGGGAGCTCCTTACCCGCCTAAGCCAGAACTGTGTGGAGCCACGATCCCTAAACACAAGGCTGCTGCTACAGCTGCATCCACGGAAGATCCCTGTTTACTGAGCACCTCCATGCCCAGTGATGTGCATTGAGCAGCATCAGTTACCACAGCACCCTGCTGGAAGATCTGGGAGGGGAGATAGGAAGGGGCAGTAGAAGCCATCCAGGAACCCTGGAACCTCTACAGGAGCTAAGGCATGCAAGCTTTGCCCTCTGCTGTCTGCGCCTCCTGTAGTTATAGAGATTGAACTCCAGGGGGCTCTACCACTGAGCTACAAAACCATCCCTTTTTATTTTTTGTCTGGGTCTCGCTTTGTTGCCCAGACAGGCCTTGACCAGCCGCAGCCTCCCGAGTGGCTAGGTTTAAAACCATTTGCTCCTCTTGTCACCTTGACTCTTCCTTATGATGCCCATCTCACTGCCCCCAAATGCCTCCTACGTGATGGAGTCTCTTCTTTGTTTTATCCCGCTCCCGTCCCACAATTCTTCCCTTTAGGACCGTCCTCTCTCATCACCCTCTCGCCTTCCTAGTTCCCGGCCCCGTTCCACCACTCAGTCATTCCCCAGTTCGAACAGCCCCCTCAAGCATTTCCTCACTCTCTCCTCCCCAGTGCCCTCTCTGCCCAAATGCCCCTCTCACCTGGGGGTCCCCGAAGTAGATTTGCATGACCAGCGCCACAGTGACGCCGGTAGCGAAGGTGAGGCAGGCAGTGACGATGACCGTAAGCCCATCTTGGCGGCAAGAGCACTCGGCCGCTGCCGCGGAAAATGGGTCCTTGCGAGTCTCTCTTAGCGGTGACCCGTCCTGGCTGCCCATCTCCGACGACGACGATGGCAGCCGCTGCAGTCGCGCCGACTTCAGGAAGGAATCCGGGTCTGCAGGAGGACGGGGACAAAAGTTGGTCTGGGCGTCTCCTACCTGGCCCTGCCTGCGGTCCCCCCTGCCTTGCCCCTGCAACACAAACCCCACTAGCCAGCCCTTCTCGCTTTTGGTCTCTGGGACCACTCCAGGGCTGGCAGGGACTGTGGTCCCAGGTTAGAAAGAGACAGAGACCCTCAATTGGGCAGCTGAGAGAGACTGCACCCCTTCTTGAGTGATACCTAGGTCAAATTTTCTGTGATCCTGAACAAGGACTGGGAACGCTTTGGGAGAGGGGGTGGACCGGTTCAGCCCTCTCTGGAAACCAGATCCTGCCCCAGTTAGGGCCCAGCCTTGTGTATAAAGAGGCAGTTATCAGGCAGGATAACTCCAGTTATCTACTTATTCAACAACTATGAAGAGCCTACTATGTGTCTGGCCCTATGCTAGATGCTAAGGGGAGAGGAAAAGACAGTTCCTGTCTTCATAGAGTTCATGGACCAGTGGAGGAAAAATGCAATAACAAGTAAACAAAGCACTACATTATTACAAGTTGTGGCAGGTGCTAGGAAGAAAAATAAGGATGAAATGATAGAGAGTGGGCTGGGGATGTGTCTTACTGTTAGAGTACTTGCTCTGGTATGATAGAGGCCCTGGGTTTGATCCCAGCCCTGCAGGAAAGAGGGGCAGGGTGAGGAGAGAGAAGAAAGTGAGCAAGGGGGAAAGAAAGAGACTGTTGGTTGGGGGAGACTGCTACCTGGGGAAATCAGAGAAGGGAGGAGGTGGTTTTAAGCAGAGAAGTCAGTCACTATTAGAGCACTGGGTTTGTATGTGGAATGTTCCTGAGGGATCAATAAGAGCCTAATGTGGGAATGAACTTGGTACATTAGAAAACAACATAAAACAAAACAATCAAACAAAAACCAAGGCCTGGGTGGCTCTAGTGTAGCAGGAAAGGAAAAGAATAGTAAGGAGAGAGTGTAGGCTCCATAGGCTAGGCCCTCGGTGCCTCCTGAAAAACTTGGATTTTACCCTGTATTATGGGAGGTCACTGGACAGTTTTAAGCAAGAACATGAAGTCATCAGTTTTGTGATTTTAAATGATCCATCTGGGAACTGGGGACAAAGCTCACTTACCTAGCATGTGCAAGGCCCTAAGTTCTATCCCCAGCAATGGGGGGAAAAATCCCCCTGGCTGCTGTCTGGAATAGATTGGAGGATAGTAAGAATGAAGTCAGAGAAGAACTGAAAGCCACTTACTTGTTGGGTGACTATGGACAAATAACTTCATGTCATGGGCCTTACCTTTCTCATACTGGTAATAGAAGTAATCCCTAACAGGTGGGATGTGTGATAAATACCAAGTGCACCATAGCTATAATGTAGTTAATAATTGTTGTTATTTCCATTCCTTTCCTACCTTGACCAGAGTTAAGACCCTCTTCCATCTCATAGTTCTCTCCTCTGGATGCTGCTGTCCTTGAACCCAAGTGCCTAAATGGTCAAAAAGTCCTGAATGTTTGTGAACAATAAAGAATTAGCTGAGGGTTGGGTTGTGGCTCTGTGGTAGAGTGCTTGCCTAGCAAGAGTGGGGAACAGGGTTCGACCCCCAGCACCACATAAAAATAAAAATAAAATAAAGATATTTTAAAAAAAGAATTAGCTGGTACCTTCACCTTAGCACCTTACTATATTCATATTTTAAGAGTTTATTCATTCAACAATTATTATTTTTTAAGATATTTATTTTTTAGTTGTAGTTGACCACAATATCTTTATTTTATTTATTTATTTTATGTGGTGCTGAGGATCAAAACCAGGGTCTCGCACATGTTAGGCAAGCGCTCTACCCCTGAGCCACAACCCCAGCCCTCAACAATTATTTTTTAGACCTTTTTTTTTTTTTTAAGGGGCAGTGTCTCATTAGGTCTTCAAAATTGTGGGCTCATGTGATCCTTTCCTCCTGAATAGCTGAGACTCCAGGTATGTGACACCATTCCCAGGACTAGGAGTATAATGCCTTTAAAAGTTTGTGTTATGGGCTGGGATTATGGCTCACTGGCAGAGCACTTGCCTAGCATGTATGAAGCACTGGGTTTGATTCTCAGCACCGCATATAAATAAATAAATTAAATAAAGGTTCATTGACAAATAAAAAATATTTTTAAAAAGTTTTGTGTTATCATATTAAATATCAACTTATAATTTCCTATTTAAGATACTGTCATGGACTGGGCACAGTGTCTCATGCCTAAAATCCCAGCAGCTCAGGAGGCTGAGACAGGAGAATCGAAAGTTTGAGGCCAGCTACAGCAACTTAGGAAGACCCTGTTTCAAAATAAAAAATAAAAAATGGGCTGGGATGTGTCTCAGTGGTTGAGCCTCCTTGGGTTCAATCCCTGGTACCAAAAAAAAAAAAGTACTATCATGGTTCACTGATCATTGAACCATGAATTAACATGAGACAAAACATGATTTAAAAAAATCCAAGCTTCTTGATTTAGTGTTTAAGGCCCTCCCTGATCCAAACTCTTCTCTGTTATATAAATAAGAAATCACAAATATCAATAAAATGCTGACATAGGCAAGATATTTTTCAGAATTTATTTATAGGCGTTACTTTTGGGAAAAGATACTACAAGTGGGAATAAGATGTGATGAAAGGATTTTTTGTTTACCACTTACATATATTTAAAAAACAATACATATCAGGGTTGGGAGTGTAGCTCAGTGATAGAGTGCTTGCCTAGCATAGGTGAGGTACTTGGTTTGATCCTCAGCACTGCATAAAAATAAATACATAAAATAAAGGTATTGTGTCCATCTACCACTAAAAATTTTTTTTAAAAAAATCAATACATGGGGCTGGGATTGTGGTTCAGAGGTAGTACACTCACCTAGCATGCGTGGGGCACCTGGTTCTATCCTCAGCACCACATAAAAATAAAATAAAGGTATTGTGTCCATCTACAAATAAAAATATATTTTAAAAAATAATACTACTAATTTTACTCATATACAAGACACTGGGAAAAAAATTATTTGGAAACAGAAGAAAACAAGTCTCTTAGGAGAAAGATGATGAGTTTCATTTTGAGTAGGACCACAAGGAGCCGCCGAGAGGATAGCTAGCCTAGTAGACATCTACTTTTTAGATGTTTAGATACCATTTCCCAATTTTCTTTTGAGGAACACCCTCTCCCTTCCCTCAACCAACTCCCTCATCCTTATCCTTGACCAGATTTAAGAGTGCGATTCAGGTCTTGCCAATCAGAACATGCATCTCTGTATCAGGCCACTAAGACTCAAACTTTGTTTTTTGGTTGGGTTTTTTTGTTTGCTTGTTTGTTTGAGACAGATTATCACAAATTGTTGAGATTATAGGTGTGCACCTATCACGCCTGGCCAAACTTTGTTCTTTTGCTAGAACTATTGGGAAAGAAAAAAGTCCTCTTTCTGCATAGGTTGATAAATTGGTAGAATATAAGCCTGTAGCTGCTGGGGGCATTTTGCCTCAACAACATGGAATGCTTTCTGACTATGCCCACAAAAACAAAGGCAGAGCAGAAGATCAAAAGTTAAATTCTTTTTTTCGTTTTTCAGCAGGATCTTGCTATTTTGCCCAGGTTGGTCTGGAACTCCTGAGCTTCCTGAGTAGTTGGGACTACAGTTGTATGCCACCATACTAGGCCTAAATTAATTTATTCTGTAATTTTTTAAAAATATTTTTTAGTTGTTGATGGACTTTTATTTTATTTATTTGTATGTGGTGCTGAGAATCGAACTCAGTACCTCACGCATGCTAGGCGCTACCACTGAGCCACAACCCCAGTCCCTGTAATTTGTTTTTGTTTCTATTTTTGTGGTACTGGGAATTGAACCCAGGGGCACTCTACCACTGAGCTATATCCCCAGCCCTTTTTATTCTTTATTTTGAGTCAGGGTCTTGATAAATTGCCAAGGTTGGCCTCAAACTTGCAATCCTTTTGCCTCAGGCTCTTAAATCACTAGGATTACAGGCATTGCTACTATGTCCAGCCTAATTAATCCCTATTTAGGACACTTTAATCCATCCAGTCTCCCCCAACCAACAGTCTCTTTCTTTCCCCCATGCTCCTGGACTTCCTGATTATACTGTCCAATAAAATTCCTTTTTTGATGTAACTGTTTTAACTGGGTTTATAACAAAGAAACCTTGAAAAGAGAGGATTATGAATCCATTGTCCAGGAGACAGATCTCAGCTAGAGATTCAGGTCGTCTCTGGTTTTCTCACTCCCTTAACAGGAGATTTTTGAACCAGGGATTACATGACCAGATGTACAGGATGGTGGATGGATTGGGGTGAGGACAGAGGCAGGAAGAGTAGCTACAAATCTGAGTAATATAGATCTGAGAGGTTCATAGTTTAGTCCAGTGGTGATGACAGGATGGAGATATAGAATTTGGAAAATACTTAGGAGGAGGAGAGAGCATTTGATCAGCTTTTGGAAGAAATAGGGAGTCCTGGAGAATGGTTAAATGACAGTATTAATTGAGAATGACATTGGAAGAAGAGCAGGTGTGTGGAGAAGAGATCATGAGTCCAGCATAAAATATATTCAAGATAAGGCACTTGCAAGATATTTAGAGGCAGATGTCTGGGAGAGGGAGGCACATGTGGGCTTGGAGTACAGGAAAAAGGGAAGGAAAGTATTTCTAGCCTTGGAGAGATTGTTGACTCGCTTTGTTTTCCATAAAGAAAACTGCTGTGGGATGCCTAACACTTGGTTTTGGAGAGTGGCAGAATAGTCAGTCACAATAAGATCCTAGTTAAGAAGATGGGACAATGCCACTAGGTGGCACCATGAGGTTGAGAACATAGGAGGCCATGTTAGCCAGTACTCTGGTCTAGCTGGAAGAAAGAAGCCTAGGAATTTGGAAGCAGGGCTAGGTGACATGGCACTGAAACATTTATACCAATATGATGGCAATGTCCTTGGAATCTACATAACATGTCCCTGGGAACCTTGGTATACAACCTCATCATAAGGTTTAAGTTCCTAGAAGCTTGGTGACCAGGGTGAGGGCACAGCCTGTATTGGCATGTCAAGATATTCCCTGAGGTTTTGGAATTCCCTTTCCTGCCATTATTTCATCCAGAGATCTTTTGTTAATTTTTATGTGGTGCTGAGGATCAAACTCAGTGCCTCACACATGCTAGGCAAGCACTCTACCACTCAGCTTAGAACCCCAGCCCATCATTCAATAATTATTTATTGAGCCCAACTCTGTGCTGGATGCTGGAGTGGTTAAAACAATCATGATTCCTGCCTGCCCTCAGACATTGGATAATCACATCATTGCAGAAACAAATAATTGAAGGCTTTTAAAAATGCTAATTTATTTGAGGGGTGGGAGAAGAAAATCAAGGGAGTCTCATCTTTGGGTTAGGAGAGACTGCCATTCTTTGTTGATCTGGAAGAGGAATCTAAGGCCCACTACAGGGGAGGTATGCCTATTGTAACACAATGAGTTGGGGGCAATGCTAGCACCAAAAGCATCACTCCTGACATCTAAATGAAAGACCTGGCTTCAGGCTAGTATCCACCAAACCACCCCTCTCCCTACTACCTCCTGATTCCAAAGCTATTCCCTCTGGAAAAGAAGTTTCAATCTGCAGTCCTGACATTTGATGTCCCAAATCCTCCACACCCCACTATCCCCTCACTCCTATCACAGGTAGAATAGAGTCTAGTCAAGTTGATAGGTGCTATTGGTCAGGGCCAGATGACCAGAAAGTTATGGAGTGGGTGAGAATTGGAGGCTGTCAGACTGGGAGCAGCTATGGAAGGGCCAGACCAGGGACGGCTGGGCCAGAGAAGCAGTATCTCTCAGGCGGTTAAGGGCTAAGGCTCTAGTGCAGGCACTAGGAGGAAGAGAGGCAGAAGGATGCTCTAATGCCAGGAAGTGACGTTGAGGGAAAGAAGGCTGGGGGATGGAGGATGAGAAATGGAGGGGAGAATGGAGCTGGGCCACATGGATAGGACAGAGACCAGTAGGGAAGGAATACTCAGAGAGCTCCTGGTCACCAGGTTTCTCCCAAGAAGGGTCTTGTCCCTCCCTACCCCCATTCCTTGCAGTTTCTGCAGAGGGCTGAGGACACAGTAAGATTCTGAAGATTGCTTCCTAGGGAGCTGAGGTACCTAACATCCCAGCCAGATCTATGTCTCCAGAAGGATGGAGTAATCCACAGGACAGAAAAGGCACTCTGGTCCCCAAGGACTTTGAGAGGTCATGCAGTCCATCCCCCTGTCTCCCAATAACCAACATTCCCAGACAGAGGGGAATCATATTCTCTTTATCCCTCCCTGGACATGAAGAGATTCTCAGCAGCTCCCCAGACTCTCTGCTTTCCATAACCCCTGGTCATGGTGAAGTTCTAAAACCTAGGTTCTATCCCTCCTGCTGCAGTCTCTGACTTGGTTTCTTTTATCCTGTCCTCTGTGGCTAGAGAAAAGCCTTTTACTGGGTGATCACAGCTGTTCTTTAGGATTTCCCCTCCAGCATTCCTTCCCTGTTGGTTGGTTCTTCCCAAGAGATAATCCCAATCCCTCCTACTGCAGTCCCTGGCATCAGCTCCCTTGTCGCATCCTATGCCTCCAAGGCAGAAATGCACCCCCTTCCTGACTAGATAATTAACAGAGACAGGGAGAAAGGAGAGGTTCAGGAGGATGGTGGTCCAGGGAATGAACTAAGGATATGGAGGCTGGAAGTGGATGTACAACACAGATGAAGGAGGATCGGGGACTTGGGTGGACACGGACGGGGCAAACGGGCCTCACCGGTATCGGGGTCTCCCAGGAAGGCATCCTCGTCCTTGCGTCCCCTCAGCGGAGCGGCAGGCGCCGGCTCATCCTCCGGCAGCCGCGGGAAGCTGGTGATGCTCATGTAGTCTACTGGCGAGTAGGCGCCCAGAGCGCTCTCCTGGCTGGCCTCGCTCTCTGCCGCCATCCTCACTTGCACCCTCTAGCAGCGCAGCGCCTGCCGGAAGTGGCTGCGGCGGGGGTTGGAGGGAGTGCGGAGCGGAGGGCGGGGCCTGAGCCCCTGGACAGCCGGGAGGGGGCGCCCCCTCCCTTGGCAGTGTCCGGGTCTGACTCGCCCCCGCCTGCTTAGAGCTGTCATCCTGCAGTGGGCACGCAGGTGCAGGTGGATGGAGAACCGCGAGGGCGGCGGAGCGTTGGGGGAGAGCGCGCAGCACAGTGGACCCAGGCACTTCATGCAACTGCAGGTTCAAAGTCCTTTCCCCTTACAGTCTGAATCCAGCTAGTATTCTCCTCAGAAGCAGACACTTTCCTGGGACCACAGACCTTTTCACTGACCGCAAACACTTCTTCGACCCCAAATTCTGTTTCTGGTCCCAAACTCTTTGGACCCTCCCAAACTCTTCTTAAACTCCAAAGATCCTCCTCTTCCGATCTCAGACTACTCCTTCCACCCTGGACATCTCTTCAACTTCCAACTGTCTTCACCCCACCCCCAGACACCGTTAAAAATGCCAGGCCCTACTTTATCCCTAGACCACTTTTTTACTTGCAGACCCCTCCTTGGACAAAGGACCTTAGATCCCTTCGTGCACACTGACACTTCTCAGATTTTTCTTTCCAACCACAACGGTTCTGGATTCCCTGATGGATCAGCAAAAGAGATTGGTCCTCAAATATTAGTGTGTATTGGGATCTTTGAAAGCAAACCCTAGATTCCACTGGATAGATCATGATTCATTCAGTAGGCTGGAATGAGGTCTTTAGAACCTGAATATCTACCCGTCATTTAAAGAGTTTTTGATGTGGTTCTGGAAAGGACACTTTTGAGAAATAATGGTGGCACAAGGTTGGTGGGATGAAGAAGATAAAAGGGTGAGAATGGGTCTCTGTAGTCTAGATTCTATTCTTGGCACTACTGCTCACAAACTTTGTGATCTTGGGTAAGACAATCTCATTGAGTATCAGTTTCCCCATCTGTAAAACGGAAAGAATAATAGTATCCATTTTAGAGGGTTTTCATGAGGATTAAATAAAGGATGGAAGGTGCTTTTTTCGTGTAGGATTTGGCACTTACTTAATAAATGCCAACATCATCATCATCTTCATCTTGTTGGTTCTCATCCCAGCCAAACCCATTTATCCTTTACCTACTGTCAGGAATTCCAATTAGACCACAACTTGCACTACTTCCCCATCTCCAAGGATGGAGGAGGTTTCCTTCCTTATGAAGCCTCTATTCCAAATTATTGTGCAGTCCACAGGCAGAGGCAAGGGGCTGAAGAAGCCCCTGGACACACTTCCCCTCCTCCAACCCCAGACTTCAGGCCCAGTTAACTTGAATTGATTTACCATTTACTATGAATGTAGCAGCTTCAGTGCAACTCTAGACAGGAGCAGGCAGCAGTGGGTGGAGCTGCTGTAGGTTTGGGAGAAAGGCTTGGGGTAGGAGAGAGGAACAGCGATTTAGAGCTGTATTGTGTGTGTGAGGCTCATATCTTCTGAATGAAGTTGGTATAGCATATTACAGTGCAGTGAGGATTGATTCTCTCAGTGGGACCTAAATAATGCCTGTGCCCTCAGTGATGTTCACTCCTTCAGCACAGTTAGAGGCCCTCGAGTGAGGTTTGAATCTTTTCACTCAGGTCCAAATCTCCTTAGTGAAGTCTGCATCCTCTGTATCTTCTAGAGTGGAATCTATATCCCTTCAGTAGGGTCAATGCCCTTCAATGCCATTCATATCCTATTAGAAGGGCCCAGAGCCCTTGGGTGGGATCTAAGACACTCACACAAGATCTGTGCTCCCTCAGGGGAGTCTTTGTATGTTCAGCAAAGTGTGTGAAACTCTAATGCAATTTATGCCTCCTCAGTATCTGTCCTTTCGTTGAGGTTAATGTCTACTCTACAAGCTTGGTATGCTTTCACTGGGCCCTCTCCTTAGGATTGGGTAGGCTCCAGATCATATGTGTGACCATTAGGAGTTGTTTTCTGGCTTAATGTATTCTGGACTCATGGTCACTGGGCAAAGAATAGAGGAGGAGGGGTGAGGGAGGCTAGATAGGTCACAAGTTCTGTGTAGGCACCAGAAGGCAGGGACTGCCTGCTTTAGACCTCAGAATCATTCTTGGAGTTAAATATTTAAGTATCTTCCTTGCATTGACAGCCAGTGTCTGAACTGACATGTACAGAAGGCCCTTCTTGGTGGTGAGCACAGGTAGAAATTTGAGGGTCCTGCCTGGCTTCTTCTTTCTGTGTGAAGAGAATAGAAGGAAACCAGGGGTAACTGAGCTCAAGTTGTGGCAGGTGGGAGGTGTCCCTTGGTGAAATAAAGAGATTGGTAAGCCAAGAAGAATAGTTGCATTACTTCTCCTATTGCATAGACAGGAATTTTACAAGCCTTAGCTTCAACTAGAGGGAATAAAAACAGACCTGAATCAGTGACCACAGGCTTGGCCCTAATTAGATTCTTTTTGCCACGACCTTGTGAAAGTTACTTCCCTTTCCTGAGTTTACAATTTGTACAATGAGCAGGTGGGTTTTTTTTTTAAGCAAAGTCTTATACCTTCACTTAATGCATCTTGTACTGGGTGAAGATTAATGGAGGCAAGGAAAATGAAAATATGTCCTCAGAGGTGGGAGAAAATCAGAACTGGCCCCTAGGTTAGCAGAGAGGGGTGTCCTGTCCTGAGCGCCATGACATCAAGGTTATGGAGTTTTTCCGGTGGACGGAGTGGGATTATTTCTGAGGGTGAGAAATTTGGGTGAAAGTGTGTCACTTAGAAGGGACTGTACTTCACTTGGCTTTATGATTCGGTGGAGTGACAATCAGGATTGTGCAATCAAACTACAGGGTGACTCCACGATGGACTCGATCCAACTTCCCTCTCCCTCTTCCCTCTCCCGCTGGAGCCCTGCCTAAACCCAACCCCTTAGCTGTCACTCCAAGATCCCAACTTGGTCACTCCACTGCCCTGCCTCCTCTCCAGTCATATTCAGCCCAGCTACTCTGGATCACTCCATGGGACCACCTTCTCTCCTGTCACGCTTTGACCCACCCCTTCCCTGTCATTCCATGGTTCCACCCTCTCTCCTGTCATGCCCAGTCCCGCCCCTTCTGCTTTCACTTTATGTTCCCACCTCTTCCGGCAAGACAGCTACGCCCCTATCCTTCGATTTTTCCATAGCGCTGTCTTTGCTAACGTGGCCCCGCCCACAATACACGGCCCCGCCCATCACAGACAGTAAAAGCCACGCCCCAGCAACAGGCCACGCCCCTCGCCTAAGGCTCCGCCTCTAGGATCGGCTTGTTTTCCCCGCCCGGCCACCCGCGGCCACCGCAGAGGCAACCCCGGTGCTCGGAACTTGACGTGATGGGACTTCCCGAAGAACGGGGTCGGAACAGTAGTGGGAGCGGTGGCCGGGAGGAAGCTGGAGCCGGGGGCCAGACACAGAGTTGGTCTCCGCCGCCCGAGGTCAGCCGTTCGGCGCACGTCCCCTCGCTGCAGCGCTACCGCGAGCTGCACCGGCGCTCTGTGGAGGAGCCGCGGGGTGAGGCTGGGCCCGAGCGAGCCTGGGGGGCGCCAGTGAGGAGAGGAGCAGGGGCTCCCTGGAGGGGTTGGGGGCTCTGTGAGGGGTTTCACCGAAGAATTGCGGTTCTGTGAGGAGATGGAAAGGGGATTCCTGAAGGAGATGGGAGTCTATGAGAATGGGGGTTCTGTGAGTTGAGAGTTCCCTGGAAGTTGGGGAGTTACTTGGGACTTGGCAGTTTTGTGAGGAGATGGGGGTTCCGTGACTGAAGAGTGGAGGTTCCTTGAGGAAATTGGAAGAAGGGAGATTTCGGAGAGGAGAGCGCAAGTTCCAGGAGGTGAGCTGCTGGGCTCCACGGGGCCAGGTGACGTCTTGAGGGGAGGAGGACCACCAAGAGAGTTTTTTGATCTCCCTTTCACACCAACTCAGAATTGCCTCCTGAGACCTTTAAATTGTGAACTAATCTCAGTTGTTCAGGGGGCAGTAACGGGTCTGGTTCCCATCTTGAGAGTTCCAGATTTTTTTTTTCTTTCTATCAAGCATTCCCCATAAATTACCCAATGTAAGACTGAATGAGTCACTGTAATGTCAGTTTCTTTTAAAATTTGGGCCGGGATTGTACTAACTCAGATTCTGATCGTTGGTTTCATGTCTTTAAAAATGTACCAAGAAAATTCCCTGACTTTGCCTTTAGACTGGGCAACATCATATTTGGTAGTGAGAAAAGCACCCGCCATGCCACTCATTTACTGTGGAGTCTTGGGCAGATTTTTAAACCCTCTGAAATTCCTTTCCTTCAACTATAAGATAGGAATAATAATATTTACCTCATCGATTTGTATGAAGACTAAAGTGGGTAAGAAGTGTGCATTATAAAATGCCTGGTGCACTGTAAACATTCAATAAATGATTAGTTTGATAAAAATAATGTGGATGAAGTAGTTACTGAGTAAAGCAAGATAAGATGGAATCAAGTGTGAAGTGGTTGATTGCTGCAGGCATTGTCCAAGTTTGAGTCCTCAGACCTCTTTTTACTTCTCTTTCCTCTTTATATTTTCTCCCATCATAAGTTCATCTGCTTCCCAGGGGTGAGCTATTACTACCACAATAATTCCTATTCTTTACCCTATACCCAGCATTTCACTTATGTTTTGGGCCCAAATTTCATAGGGATATAGACTATATGTATCTTGCACACTGTGATGTTATACCATATTCAACATGACTATGAATGGGATTTACCAATTTTCCCTTCCAAACCTGTTCTCCTCCCTAATTTTCTTATTCCTAACAGTGTCAAATGGCACTATCCCAAACTGTAAATCTCTTCTATCAGCCTCTCTTCTAATCAGATCTATCTATATATCTTACCTAGTTACAGATTGCTTACTGCTTGCTAAGCACAATTCCAGTTTGATTTGGTGTGGGGACTATAATGTTCCACATTTTACAGACAAGGAAACTGAATCTTAGAGAGGTTAACTGACTT